ATGATGATCCTTCTCCTTGAGTGCCTTAGCAAATAGAATGGGTACCATGCTTCCCTGTCTCTAACTTTTAGGAAAAGGTTTGTTTCTCTGTTTTTCCCAGTTGATGGTCAATTGTAACAAATGGAGAAGTTTCACAGGGTCTTTCTCTTGACTTTCATCCGATCTCTTGGGTAATAACGCCCAAATGAAGCCTGACTAGGTTTCTAAATTATTTTCAGTTGATTGACAATGTTTCTAACTGCAAAAGAGAACTGTACCCAAACTCATCTCTATGCCAAATAGGATGAAAAAACATTAATGGATGTGTCCATTTCCTTGTATCTGTAACTCACCAATTTGTTTTTATTTTGGTTGGGGGGTAATATATCCACTGATTGATATCTGATCCCTAACTTTATTCAATATTTATTTATTTATTTATTTATTTATTGAGATGGAGTTTTGCTCTTGTTGCCCATGCTCGAGTGCAATGGTGCAATCTTGGCTCACCAAAACCTCCCTCTCCTGTGTTAAAGTGATTCTCCTGCCTTAGCCTCCCGAGTAGCTGGGATTACAGGCATGTACCACCACACCCAGCTAATTCTGTATTTTTAGTAGAGACGGGGTTTCTCCCTGTTGGCCAGGCTGGTCTCAAACTCCCGGGCTCAGGTGATCCACCTGCCTCGGCCTCCCAAAGTGCTGGGATTATAGGCGTGAGCCACCGCACCTGGCCTAAAGATTTAATTTGAAGGCCCAGTGGAGAGAAATGGAATCCCACAGACCAGGAAGCAGGCCTGGCTCTACTGAGGACCAAGCTGTCACCTCAGTTTGCTGTACTTCAGCATTCTCAACGGTTTCAAACTGGATGCTAGTACTTGCCCATAGCAATGTAATGAAAAATCTGATGGTGATTGGAAGGAAGGTTTTATATCAGCCATTGAAATATCTCTTGGAGCTAATTGCTACCTTTTCTGAGAAGAGTTGCATTATCTTAAAAATAACCAAGCATTTTAACACTATGATGTTTCCCCTGGAATCCTTCAAATTTTCTTGACAAGCTCATCTCAACAGAATTTTAAAAAGTCAACAACAATCTATCACATCAGGTTAAAATATTTTCAATTAATAACATTTAGCACTATATACCAACTGGATTTTATATATTTTATTGAAAATATGCACAAAATAAATACCTCTTCTTCTCTATTAATAAGATAAACAATGTCACATGATTAAAGGTAAGCATTGAAATTCTTTCAGATAATCTGGAAGGAAATGTCCTTTTCTCTTTGCTGAGTTTTTCTCTGGGAAATGAAGAAACAAGATTGTAAGAGTTCACGGTTCCTTCCTCACCTGCTGCAGGTTCACACTCGGCAGGTCGCCATATATATTATATTTACCTTACAGATGGTAGAGACTGCCTGTGATCAACAGCGTTTATGACTGTCCAGTTCTTGTTTCTTCTGTTTCATAGCAGATATACTCTCAAGGTTCTCGAAAACCATTTAATCTAAGATAGTTTCGTAGGCAAGAATTTAGGGACTGCTTGTTTTGTGAGTCTCCAAAGGGTATAATAATACTTAAAACCAAGGGATGAGCCAAAAGACATCTTCTAAAATTACATTTGAAGAATGGAGTGTAAATGGAATTAGATATTCCAAGTGTTAAAAAAAAAAATGAGACTGGCTGAGTTTAGGGGTTACTTCATTTAAATTCTTACTGTTCACTCAGACTATTCAAAATAGCACCCACTTTAGGTGAGATTTGTTGCCAAGCTAATCTTTTTAAAAGTACAATCATATCCACTTGTAAAAATTTGAAACAGTGCAGAAAGAATGGGAAATAGCCAAGCCTCAAGTTCCCTCACCTCTGATCCCATAATCCCATTCCCTAGAGGTAAACACTTAAGAATTTGTGTATCCTCTTAAAGACTTTTTATTTGTTAAGAGATGAGGTCTCAGCACAGGCTAGAGTACAGTGGTGCAATCATAGCTCCCTGGAGCCTGAAATTCCTGGTCTCAAGCAATCCTCCCACTTCAGCCTCCTGAGTGGCTGAGTTTACAGGCATGTGACACTGCCTAGCTCTTCTGGATGTTTTCTTTTTGTTTTTTGTTTGTTTGTTTTTGAGACAGAGTCTTGCTCTGCTGCCCAGGCTGCAGTGCAGTGGTGCAATCTTGGCTCACTGCAACCTCTGCCTCCTGGGTTCAAGCTATTCTCCTGCATCAGCCTCCCGAGTACCTGGGACTACAGGCGTGCACCACCACACCCAGCTAATTTTTTTACTTTTAGTAGAGACGAGGTTTCACCATGTTGGCCAGGATGGTCTTGATCTCTTGATCTCGTGATTCGCCTGCCTTGGCCTCCCAAAGTGCTGGGATTACAGGTGTGAGCCATCACATCTGGCCTCTTCTTGATGTTTTAATGCATATACTAGGATATATTTCCTTATATAGAAAGAAACACAAGCTCATTTGTAGCAAATAAGTAAGCCATGAATTCAGGGGTTTTTTTTTTGCTTTTGCAGGGCTGCCAATATGCTGTCTTCATAGGACAGTAAAGAAAATATCACTTGGGCCACTTCTAACATGAAATCCTGAAGATGGCTGTAGAAAGGGTGCTAGGGCTTTGAGTCTCTGGTTTCTTTCTGAGAGAAAGAAAACCATCACGGTCCCCCTGCCCCCGACTCACTTAACAACGCTTGATGGAGTGAACAATTTCATGGCAGGCACTGAACTAGGCTCTGGAGATTCCAAGCTCAGGAAGAGAGGCATGGCCCTGCCCTAATGAGGCTTTGCAGTCTGCTCCCCAACTCCTATCCCTAGAGGGTGTGCTCAACTCATTCAAGACAACTTTTACTGAGCACCTATCATAAAGCAAACACTATTCTAGACACCATAGATAGAAAGATGAGTAACGTTCAAACCTGCCCTTAGGGAACATTAAGTCTAACAGCGATCTAGATTATGTTTCAGCAAGGGCTGTATGAAATGTGCACGTTGGTGTTATGGAGGCAAGAAGAAGGGTCACTTCACTTAAACTTTGAGGTGGTGGAGGGAAGGGTTGGAAAGCTTTCCCAAATTAGGTGGAATTGGGGTGGGGTTACTTCAGACAGAGGGGCCAATGTGCAGATAACCTCCTCAGGGTACAGCAGCGGTCTAGGGTTATGAGGCATGAGGCAGGGTCAGACATGGAAGGCTTTCCATGCCTCTAAAGAGCTGGGATATACTCTAGGTGACGAGAAGACAGTAATTCAGGCAGCAGAGGATCGAGGCAGGGGTGTAAAGAATCAGAGAGCCCCCTCTTACAGCTCTAGGAGGTGCGGAACCAACCAGGCAGCCTGTGTTGCAGACGAATCCAGAGGAGGAATGATGAGAACCTAAACCAGGGCAGGCGTAGAGATGAACGTAAGATCTATCTAGTGTGTAAAACCACCAGGGCTGGGGAGCCAACTGGATATGAAGGTTGAGAAAAAGAGAGGTGTTATGGTCTGAATGTATCCCCCACAATTCATGTCGAAATGGAATTCCCAGGAAGATGCTATTTGGAGGGCATCTTTGGGAGGTAGGTAGGTCATGAAGGTGGAGCCCTCATGAATGGGATTAGTGCCCTTATGAGAGGACAGAAAGCAAACTTACCCATCACCATGAGAACATGAGAAGTTGGCCACTGCATCCCAGAAGAGGACCCTCCCCAGAACCCAGCCATGATGGCACCGTGATCTTGGACTTCCAGCCTCCTGAACTGTAAGAAAGAAATGTCTGTTCTTTATAAGCCACCTGGTTTGTGATATTCTGTTACAACAGCAGGAGCTAAGACTGGAGGGGTCAGGGTCAACTCCCAGGTTGATGGTATTATTGACTGGCAGAAGAAATGCCGTCTCCCTGGAAGTTGGGTTAAAATGATTTTTTAAAAGATCTCTGTACTCTCTGCAACCCTCTGTACCTGTGCTTTATCCTCGGCATATAATCCTTTTCTGTCTCAAACCTACCTTTCCCTCCAATCTTCTTTAAATGAGCCAATAAATCTTCCACACCTCCCATTCAATCTTCAACCTGGCAGTTGGCTGAGTCTGCCAACAGGCCCCATGATCCCCTGAAACTGCTCTTGAGGGGATCACTGTGGAAAGGGCCCTAGCAATCCCATTCCCAGACCTCTTTGCAGCATTGGATTCTGCTGACATGCCTTCAAACTCTCTTCCTTGCTTTCCCTGGCACTTCACTCTCCCTCCTGGCTTCCTCCAACCCACAGCTGCTCCTCTCCTGGCTCCCCACCTCCTTCTCCTCCTCCAGATTCTCTTCCCTTCATATGCTCCATAGGTGACTGCACTGCACTGTAGGCTGACCTCCATCTCCACACTGAAGTCTCGCAATTCTAACTCGACATTCTTTTCACATTCCAAAGTCTAGTATCCAACTGCCCATATTCAGTCTGGTCACATCAAATCTTTCCAAAACTCATCCTTTCTCCCATCCCCTGGCTTCTGTCTTAGTCACCCACTCATTCCTCAAAGACTGGTATCTGGGCAACTGCTGGCAGCAGCGCAGAGGCGCCACCCTCCCACCCCTGTCCTTTCTAGCTGCTGTTTACTCTAAGATGTTCTTCCTTTCCTTAAAAACTGTATTTGACATATACAAACACTACCGACAAAATCACCATATCAGATTTTAGATGATCATTCCACTCTGCCTTTATTTTTTAACAATATATTTAATACAATATTAAGTAGAACATATTTAATATGTATAAAACTCTGTTATATATTAGTTATAAAGCATAATATAGTAATAGCATATAGTAAACACCCGTAAGCCTACCAGCCAGGAACCAGAACAGCCGCATAACCTGACATCTACCTATGTGTTCTCGTCCCCTCCATTTCCTCCTTCCGTGGTAATTACTATGCTAAATTTTGGTTTATCATTGTTACCCTCTTCTGTTTTTACGATACGGTTTTATGATATATGCATGCTCAGACTACATATTCTTTGATTTTGCTCGATTTTGAGCTCAGTTTTGTTTGGTTTTGAGCTTTCCTTAATATTTTCTGAGATTCATTCTTATTGCGAGGTATAGCTGTAGTTCACTCATTTTTATTACTGAATAATATCCAGTAGGGTGAATACACATATCTAACTATTCACCTATTCTCCTGTAGACAGACATACATTTCACCTTTTCCAGTTATTATTATAAATACGTTACGATGAACATTCTTACACATTCCTCCTAGTGGCCACATGCAAGAGTTTGTTGGACATACAGGTGGGAGTTGGAAGCAAGATCATAAGGTCTTCAAATGTTCAAGTCTGTGAGGTATAACCGTTTTTTTAAAGCAGTGGTGCCTGTTCACACATCCACAAGTCCCTATAGATCTAACAACTGGTACCGAGACCCAACTTTTGCAAATCTTATGGATATAAAATGGAATCTCATTGTGGTCCGAATTCATATTTCTCTGGTCGGCAATGCTAAAGAACATCTTTCTATTTATTTAAAAGCCCTACATATTTCCTCTTGTGTGAAATGCCTTTTCAAGTCTTCTCTATTTTTCTATTGAGTTTTTTTTAAACAGGAATTCTCTATATTTGTGATTATGAATCCTTTGTCAGTTATTTGTATTATAAATGTCTTCTCAAGTTGTGGCTCATCTTCTCACTTAAATGTTTTCTTAATATAAGCTTTAGTTTTAACAGAGTTTACTTAACCATCTTATCATTTATGATAACTATGTTATGTCTCAAGAGATTCTTTCCTGCACTAAGCCTTTTTCATCCAAACAGTGACAATTTTTGCTTTCTGTATGGAAGCCCTTAACATATTTGGAACTTATCATTGGGTAGGGTGCGAGGAATTCAAATTTTTTTTTTTTTTCCCACATGAATAGCCACTGTTCTGGGACTACTTAGGGAGTGGTCCTTCCTGTCCCCACTGACCTCCCTGCCACCAGGTCATTTCACAAAGGTCAACATACGCATGGGTGAGTTTCTGGGCCTTTATTTTGTTTCCCTGCTCATAATGCCTACCTCTGCACCACATTAACCAGGCGTGGTGGCGTGCACCTGTAATCCCAGCTACTCGGGAGGCTGAGGCAGGAGACTGCCTGAACCCAGGAGGCAGAGGCTGCACTGAGCCGAGACTGCACCATTGGACTCCAGCCTGGGTGACAAGAGTGAAGCTCCATCTCAAAAAAACCAAAAACAAACAATTGTATCATATGGGGTGTGTCTTCTCAACCCCTCCTTTATATGTAGAAGCATTTGGTAATTTTAAGTCCTTTGCTATTCCATATAAATTTAAACACCTGCTTGTTTCACTCAATAAAATCTCGGTTGAAATTTCCACTGAAAATGGTATTGAATCCATAGATCCATTTGGGGAGATCTGATACCTTTATAATCTTTACTATTCCTATTCATGAGCAAAGACAGTTCTTCATTTGTTCCTCCCTTGCTTCTTGGTCTTCATCCTTCAAATCTCAAATCAGGACTCAACGCGACCTTCTCCTGAATATTTCCACCACCATCTTGTGTATATACCACCATCTGAGTGTATAATTGCATGCACATTTTTGAGATAACGCAATCATCCAAGAAAAAGATGACACGGGTGAATTTGAGGCTTGTTGCTTGAGTGGCGGCAGCATTCTTCATTATTGAATATATTGAGAATTGGAGGGGAATAAGATGGTAAGAAATGAGTGACATTATGCTGCCCACCTGCCAACTCTGCACAGGGTATCAGAGCCCAGCTGAGATCCTGCTTAATCCTGAAAACAACTAAAAGATGTTAACCACCCTTAGCAGTAACTTTCTCTCCCCATTTCCTTTGTGTTTCCTCAGGGGCACCAAAATGTGAAATTATGGGAGGACAAAAATGCTCAGAGAGCATGACTACTGACCACACTGGGGCAAACGGCTTGAGTGTTTCTGACAAGCAAGCAGCGAGAGCATGGCTTTTGCCAAAGGGAGTTCTGCAGCCATTTAATCCAGCCTTTAGAAAATGAGGTCTTCCAAAGAGGGAGCAGAGCTACGCTTCCTTCCCCGTCAGAACCCAGTGTTGTAACTGCTTAGATTAAAATGCCCCATTTCTCACACTATCATCTTGCCACAGGATCACACTTCCCTATTCAACTGAGTTTCAGGCTTTTCTTCTAAGAGGCAGTGTCAGCCAGATGCACACAGGCTTTCTGTTGTTATTTTTAAGGCACTTTAGGTTGTATTTCCTTGAGGATCATCAAGAATAAAAAAGGCAAAAAAAAAAAAGTTAGAAAAACAAAGAAAGTTAATCTGTATCATATCCCAAAATGGGTCCAAGCCATTTCTCAATCTCGGCCACAGACATGTTCTTCCTCAAAGCATAATCCTGAACCTGCAAAAGATAAGAAGCATTTTATTAAACCGACGTGATAAGACTTTGGAATAGAAGTTTCTGCAACATTTGCCAAGAAACATTAAGTAGTTTCCATTTCCTGTCTTAATAGCAATCTACTGAGTTAAATGGAGATACATTATTTGTCTACCAAGTTGCCTTATTCACTAGGCAGAAAAACAACATGTAATAAACATCTGATGCTTAGAAGCTGTGTGTGTGTGTGTGTGTGTGTGTGTGTGTGTGTGTGTGTGTTGTTTGCATGTAGAAGTGAGGGTGAGAATAGAGGTATTCTGATTAAATCAAATTAAGACATTAACCGGAGAAAATTTCTTCATGCTTTCCCCTTACTTTATTCTCATTCATATTTAAAATGAAAGAGGTTCTAGAATTTCATTTCAGATAAGGCAGGTATCTAGGGAAGCCACATAAAATGAAACAGCTAGCTTACCTGATCCTTGGATATCTTCCCCACAGCAAAATATTTGGACTTCAAATTGGAGAAGTAGAGGCCTGAGACTGCTGCAGCAGGTGCCATTGCTAATGATTCTGTTAACCTAATGCCTGGAGAGAGCAATACGGGAAAATGCTTACTCACTCAGTGCCTAGAAGACAATGAACTCTTGTTGAATAAGTGAACAAAAGTGAACTCATGCCTTCTAGGTAGACACATGACACAGCATGAAAGCTGCAATCAGATAAGTCTTGCAAATTCCTGCCAGGTCAATAAACAAATTCAGGACATGCAGATCTCCTCTAAGGCTGGGCACTGTGACCCAGGGTGGATAGGCCTGGGAAAGACTCCATACTCCTACCTCCAGCCATCTGAGATCAACTGCAGGCGCCCTGATTTGCTCCTAAGCCTAGACCTTGCCAGACAGGAGCTCTAACCCTGGAGATGAGAACACCAACTGAACAGCTCTCCATAGGCTCTCTGGGGCCACTAATACTAGGGACGACTGAGAGCTCCAGTGAAGAACGAGCCTACAACATTGTGAAAAAGAAGGCACAGTTTTCCTTGGGATCTGAGAATTCAAAGGGACCCTCTCAAGGATATCTATTTGAAGCTACTCGTTTTATGGACAAGGAAACAGAGCAGCATGAAGGGTGAGCGCTCTGCCAGAGGTCGCTCAGCCAGCTTATGGCGGAAACAGGACCTGGACCCAGATCTCATGACTTCTAGAGTTAGTGTTGTTCCTGCTGAAGCAGATTCAACACAGCTCATGGTTTCTCACTTAAATCTAGATGTCTTTATCAGCTTTGATGGCATGCTTTTTATTAATTCCACTAAAAACTGTGAGCTTAGACCGGGCCATCTCAACTACACGAACTCTGAAGTAATGACTAGAACCAGCATATTGATGTGACAATGTGCAGCCACAGAACCATGAGCAATTCAGCTCTGGGCACAGGACGCTGAGGCCGGGTGTCTGGGCCTTTGTCTCAGAAGGGCACATGCCAGCTTCTCACGTTCAGCTATTAGAATCCACAGGAAAACATAATAGAGAATTAGGATTACAGAAGAGCACAAATGTTAATAACAGTGTAAAAGAGAAAAGAGGGCTGAAGGGAAGGCTGGGCGTTCTGCAAGACCAGCACCCAGGGACACCGTCCACAAGCAAGGGGTCAAGAGGGTGAGGCACGTGACATTACTAAGGGACAAGGGTTGGTCACTAAGGGAGGGATTAAAGACATTAGCATGCCTGTGACAGGAAACTGGGGCATGAGAGGCACGGGACAGTATAAGAAAGCTAAACTCCCATCTAGTGTAGGCCAAGAGGAAGTCACTTAAATGGATAAATCTAAAAATGATGATGTCAGAATACTAATGCTGAAGTAAAATGCCAGAATAGGTACAAGTGAAAATGGACAGGATAAGGGACAATGTGATTAGAAGCCCTTCCACTTTAAAAACACGTTTAACCAGATGTGCCATTACGTTGATAAGAGTCCATGCACTGAAGAAGGAAGACAGGAACCTGCGGCTTCCTGGCACATACCTGTAGACTGCTCGATGTCCGCGAGTCTCCACATGGTGAGCTTCTCGGTGTGGTCAGGCTGGCTGGGGTAGCCGGGAGCTGGGCGGATGCCCTCATACCGCAGCCTGCGCAGGTCTGCAACGTCCAGCTGCTCACTGCCACAGTAGGCCCACAGTTCTCGGCGCACTCTTTCATGCAGCTCTTCTGCAAAGGCCTTCAGACCCAGAGCACCAGGTGTGCTTAGGCAGAAGTGGGGGCTCACGGCATCAGTGCAGCCTCCAACCCCTGAATCACAGCCATGAGGATAGCCTCCCTCATCTGGACCACAGCCAGGAAAGATTTGGCAAGAGGGAAAAGGCTGGATTCTCAATGGGTTTGTACCTTTATTAGCTGCTCTGCAGCTCACTGTGGCCTCAACCTGAGTTCTAAAGCATCATGCTTAGTGACCTGAGGATTTTAGACCTTAAAACTTAACAATTTCCCTAAAGGTTAATCCAAAGCTACACTGGCCAGAAAGAGCAGGTGGGACCTTCTAGATGCGAGCCCCTCCACTGCTCACTGCAGGAAAAGGGGGAGGCTCTCCCAGGGCCAAGTCTACCCCATTCCATGCATAGGAAGATGAACAATCTACAGATGACACCAGCATTACAATGAGGGGCTCTGGAATAAAAATTTGTTTTAAATTTTTTAGGATCCTGAGGAAAGTGTCCTATCATAATAACATCACAGAGAGACAACAGAGGTAAGGCAGAGGTAAAGGCCCTCAGAGCAACAGCCAACTATGGCACCACTGAAGGTTTTGCTCTGCCCTAAAGATAACACATACAGGCAATCTGGGGATATATAATATGAAAATATGTGTAATGTTAAAGCCAGCAGCATCCAACTCAAGGAAAAAAAAAGACCCCGGTTCTAAGGGCTGATCAGTGTTCAGGCACCCCCCAGGTTCCCTGCTGCCCAGCCTCTGTCCTCAGCCCCTTGGTGCGATGCCTCTGCCTTACCTCTGCCAGCCGGTCCCCCAGTGCCTTGACCATGATGCTGCTGTAGTCGTCACTGTCATCCTCATAGGCCTTGCTCAGCTCTTCCACCCCAAAGCAGGCAACAGCAAACAGGCCCAGGTAGTCACGGATGCCAGAATGCAGAGGAGCGATGAAGTCCGAGAGGCAGTAGTACGGCTCCGTGCTGGCAGAGTCCTTCTCGGCCTTAAAACCAAGCAGTATGAGGAGGCACCGTGAGCAAGAACATGGCACCAGCACACCGTGGAGAGCGATCAGGCATCTTCCAATGAAAATAAGCTTCACAACACTGTGATGGCAGCCTGTACTGTCCACTGTTACATCCCCAGCACTTGGAATTGTGTCTGACACATAGTGAGTATTCAATAAATATTTGTTAGATAAACAAATGAAATTTTTAAAAAACATATGACATGACATAACATAAAGAGTCAAGACACCAGTTCACTCACTCATTCACACACTGACCAAACATTAATGAATGCCTTCGGGCACTGTGCTGAAATCATGGGCTTTTAAAAAAAAAAAAAAAAAAAAAAATTTGTCCTCAAGTGTTTTCAATTAAGTCCAACACCATGTTTGAAAGAGATCCAGTAAATGGAAAAGCCTCCATAGCATCAACAGAAGCAGCTCAAACAACAAACTGTTGGGATCAGCAATGCCCAGGGCACGTGCTGCCTGCCATGTGGGGTGGGGGGGGGAGGGTCATGAGGGTCATACAGGAGCCGGCTGAGGACACCCAGGGATGGCTGGGAACCAAACCAAGAATTCAGCAGGATTTGCTTCTGGATTCTCTCCACAGCCCCGGGGCCTATCCTCCCCAATTTTTCACCCTCAGCTGATGAGCAACTCTTCCCTGCAACTAAGTTAATAAATAAGGTCTTATACATATTTTAAAAATCAATAAATATTTGCTGAGAAGGTAAATAGCTTATAACTAATACTTATTCAGTAGTTACTCTGTGCCTGTTCTTGGTGCTTTATATGAATTACTAATTTAACCCTCCCAACCTCCTTGTGACATGAGTGATATCACCAGTTCCATTTTACAGACAAGAAATCAGAGGCATAGGAAGCTTGAGGTCAGACAGTGGGAGGGCCAGGGGGCTGATACCACAACCCATGCTCCTATATATGTAGTACTGCTTGGGACCAATCAATTAATCAAGGAGTGGCCAACCCAGATACCCCACAGCTCGCTGCCAGCCGTGGAGGCAAGCACAGCCTCACTGACACAGGGCAGGAAGTCATTAGGTGCAGGCGAGGAGGTGTTTGGTAATGGCATACAGGAATGTCACAGAGCTCAGGGACAGCTGTGCGTGGGGAAGCCGTTTTCCAGGTATACTCGGCTCATCAATTATTCTTTGCTAACAAAAGCCAGAGGGGGACCCAAAGCTTCCCTGCACCACAGGAGAGACAGATCACAGAGCCCCATGGTACCTTAGAAGAGACAGCAATCAGAGCCTACTCAGAAGAGCAGACTCCCAGAGTAATAAGGCACTGCTGCAGAATGTTCCAGAGTGCACTGGAGGAAAGCCCCTCCTGAGAAATCGCCACCTGGGTAGGTAATGTATGTGCCTGGCCCAGTTCCCCTCTCCAGAGGCTATTAAAAAGGTGAACTCTGAGAATTCACTCGATTAAATGCCCTAATATGTCACAGACTGCCTGGACATGAATAGTACTGGAAGCAAAAAGAGACCGCAGGGGACACAGGACTCGAAAGATGAAAGACTGGGCTGGAGCAGAGCAGAGGTTTCTGAATAGTTATGTTTGTAAAAGAAAAGCCACAAATTCCCTAGCGAAGAGAGGCAGGAAATTAACATTAGAACCCCAGTGCCTTGTATTCTGTGGTGACTGAGCCTAGGTGCACGCAGTAGGGATTTACTGAGCATGAGTGCATATGGTAAGGATGTAGCTTTAACTCTTCATGGTACTGGTTAAGGCCCCAAATTTCAGAATCCCTTCAGATGTTGTTATGGTCAAAATATCAATCATTATGAATTATACTGTGGTTGGGATTAAAAAGCACCACTATCTTTTTGTTTGCTTGTTTTTCAGAGACAGTGTCTGGCTCTGTTGCCCACACTGGAGTATATAGCATGATCACGGCTTACTGCAGCCTTGAACTCCTGGGCTCAAGTGATCCTCCAACCTCATCTTCCCAAGTAGTTGGGAATACAGGCATACAGGTATGCACTCCCCAGTGTACTGCTAATTTTTAATTTTTTTTTTTTTTGTAGAGGCAGGGTCTTGCCATCTTGCCCAGGCTGGTCTCAAAGTCCTGGGCTCAAGCAATCCTCCCACCTCAGCTTCTCAAAGTGCTGGGATTACAGGTGTCAGCCACTGTACCTAGCCAACAATACCATTTCTGAATGACTGAAAATGGCAGTAATACAGAAAGAATAATTCTGGTTCCAATTCTTGATTGAGACACCCTTTTTTACAGCACCTAAAGGGACATGCATAGGATATCTGCCTTTTCAAAGGTGGGGCAATGAGAAAGAAGTCGCTGAGAAGAGTCTGTTCTCACCACACTAAAGAAAAGCAGCCAGCACAGTGAAAGAACAGCCATTGGGGGTGTGCACAGGTTGGCTCTCCCCTCTATAGAGGGGGGCCCAGCACAATCTCCACCAGCCTTCATCTTCTCTGTAAAACAGAAACTTCAACTGCCTGACACAGCTGTGTGGAAATTAAAAGGATGACCCATCCGGCACCTCACTACGCACCTGGCACCTGGAATACATTCTGCAAATGTTGGTTTCCACCTGTCTTCCCCTTTCATGGAGAGCCACAGTCTATTTTAATAACGTGCATTGAGGTTAACCAGCTTTGCACTAGTGAGTGTTCTCTTCCTTCAGAAGCTGCAAAGACGGACATGTGACCACCTGAGACAGCAGCAGTGGTTCTCGTCCATCCGTGGCACACAACATGACATGCCTCACTCCTGCGGAGTGGCCCTGCCGCTGCCACCCATGTGGGCGCCTTCTCTCCACCATCCACACAGGCCTTGGGCTTGGCTGAGTGATTGGTCACTTGGGAGGAGGTGGGGCAGACTCTCATTTATGCAAAGCTCTTCGGCTTAGCACCTAAACTCACAAGTGAGAGCAGTGTGCTGGCTGTCAAGTCCTTCCATACCTGTTGCCTTAACCCATAGAAGGTGGCTATGGGCTCTGTAGCCTGGGGCACGGCACCCTCTGCGTACAGGTGAATGTCGTCTTGGACACTCTGTGCTGGCCAGAACCCAACCACTCCCCTGGCTTGGAGTTTCTTTTGACTAATCAGTGTGTTCAGCATATCTCGGGCATCGTCGTAGACCTTTTTGGCCTCTTCACCTATTAGAAAAACATAGTAAGAATTCACTTAAAGATGCCAAAAATACCCATCAAACAATGCTTCTTTTAAAAATCATTACCCCTGCTCAGTCACCTTCCCTCCTCACCCTTCTCTATTTTCCTCAAATGCTCTCTGTTGTTTGCCACTGACCTAGCTTAAAGTAGAACAGTCAGGGTTTTGCGGTTCCTGCTAAGTGCAGCTCCCACAGTCTGCTTCTCCCAGTTCAAGTCACTTCAATTTTCCATTGGACAAAAGGCAGAAAGCCAAAGCTGTGGCTCCCCAAAGCATTCTGTCAGAGAGGATGAGAAAAAGCAGGCCAGATTCCTGACTCGCTGACGTTCCTCATGCACGTACAACTCCACTGACTTCACAGTGACTCTGGGAGACATGACCTGTGCCTTATGTCTGTGGTGCTTTAAATCCCAACCACAATACAATTCATAACGACTGATATTTTGACCATAACAACATCTGAAGGGATTCTTAAATTTGGGGCCTTAAACAGTACCGTGAAGAGTTAAACAAGGACAGCTACATCCTTACCAGATGCACTCAGGCTCAGTACATCCTTACTATATGCACCCAGACTCGGACACCACAGAATACAAGGCACGCTGAACACAAGGCACAGGTCAGGTCCTCCAGAGTCACTGTGAAGTCAGTGGAATTGTATGTGCACAATGAACGTCAGTGGTAAGGAATGAAGTGTGGCCTAAATCCTCATACTGGCTTTAGTGTTGCACCTGGCTGCCCTGCTCTGGGACCTGCAGTGGGGGCCAGGCTCCCAGGACACCCTCTCAGTTTCTGGGTCTGTGAGACTGGCCGCCCTGCCCATGGTAAGCAGCCTGTTCTACGGCCCCTGGACAGCTCACCCGTGATGACTGAGGGGCAGCACAATGAGAAGCCCCTTGCCCACCACCATGTTCCTGGCTACCTGAGAGCTCCTGAGTCTCAGCATCCTAACACACACACCCAGACTCCGCTTCTGGGAAACTTGGCAAGAGGCTGGTTTCTCAGGCTCCTCTCTACCCTAATCCCATGTTCTGTGGGTCCACCCCTCCTTGTTGCTCTGATGTGCCTACTACCTGATCCTATGAATGGCTTTGGTTTTGGATTCCGGTCTCTGTGGGTGGGTTTTGGGGTGAGACTTGAAGTGAGAAGTAGGGGGTAGTAATTTATCACCTCACCTACTTCTCTGGTTTCTCACCCCAAATCCCCATTCCCTCCCCAATGCTCTAAGCAAAATGGACTCCCTGCAGTTCCCCAATTAGGCACACGTGCCTGTGCCTTCTCATACTGTCTCCTCTACCTGCAATGTCCTTTTCTTCAACATCTTATCACATCTATAGTCCCACCACAGCAACTCCCACTGAATCCTCAAAAATAGTTCAAACGCCACCTCTTCCAGGAAGCCTGCCCTGACCTCTCAGTCTGAGCTCTATCTTTTCTTCTTGTGCCCACACGAGCCCAGGCAGGGCCCATTACTATTGGCTGTGCAGCTAGTCAGTACTAGACGGCAGGGATTATATCGTCTTCCATTTATCCCTAGTGCCCAGCATGTAACTGATGTCAATAAACATTTATTAAAAGAATAAAGTAGATACCAAATTTAGTTGATATAATAAGGACCAATCTAGCAGTTCAAAAACCATTAAGAAGTTGGGCAGGTGACCAATATGAAAGCAGCTGTTATCTGCACAATCCACATTCACTGCTCCTCACCAATTCCTGTCTTCAAAGTCACAATCCTACATCTTGAATATCAGAGGCAGACAGGAAGGACTTACTGCACTGACCTACTGTTTTGTCGTTAAATATCTTGGGAAAGCCTCGATTCGGGTACTTGCCCCGGAGCTGCCAGACATCAAAGAAAGGCTTCCAGTCAATGTAGTCCACCAGCTTCTGCAGGTCATAGTCTTCAAAGACCTGGGTCCCAATAAAGGTGGGCTTCACTGGAGGAAAGAAGTGTGGTTGTCAGTGCTGACGCTGGCACCCCGCCTGATGGAGGCCTCCCTGCCAGCTCCTCAGTGCTCTGCCAGCTCCCACGCTCTGCCTCCCTCCTGTCACCCGTAGGAGTTGTTTTACAAAGAGGGGAACTTTAAATTATCGTGGAGAAGGAGTAATTCTGCACTGAGTCTTAAATAAAACTATTCTTCACATGCAGCTGACTGACTACACCACCCCTGGAAACTGTTCCCTCAACCCTTCTATCCCTACCCCCCAGCCCAAGAAGGAAAGACAGATGGGTTAATCCTCACTTGTACAAATGAAGACAAGGTGAACATGAAGAGCACTGCAGAAAGGCGTAGAGAGTAAGCTACTTATCTCAAGTTTCAAGACCAGAAACAATCATCTATATTGCCTGCTGATACATATGCCCAAAGTACAGGAAAATGAAGTCCCAAATTCAGGACTGCAGTGATTTCAGCAGGGGAGGAAGAGACACGCGTGGAACTTCTGATACATATTCCTCAATACATAACCCTCAACTCTTGAGCACGGGTGCAACACAGATGTGGTCAATGAAAGCTGATGTGAGATATTACCTTGGAAAAGTAATCTAACCTCTGTTGACTCTGCTTTGTTTTGTTTTTTAAAAATCAGGTGGTAGGTTATGTTGTAAGCTGGCTAGTGGGTTTGCAGGGATGTTTAATACATTGTTCTTTATACCTCCTGGTATAAAATATGGTCTAAAATGTATCATAATTTAAATAATGGTGAAGACTTCAGAGACAGATGGTGTGCTGGGCTCTCTGGGGCAGGCAGAGCAGCACTGCCACGGCCCTCCAGCCCGTAGTGCAGTCCGCACCTAGGACTCTGGTCTGACGTGGCAGGGTCAGGCTGGAGTCTAAGGTGTTGACCCCACTGCCATATCTGAGCCTTCCTGTCTCTCTACTTCCTGATTTGTAACCAGGCATCAGAGAACTTCCTATTCTACCAATCTCAGGGGCTCTGGGAGAACACAGAGGCTTCCAGAGTATTTTTCTCTCATTTGGCAGTAAAAATAGGAGGTGAGAGCACAGGAAAAGTATTAGTAGCGTCTTGCTCTGCCTGGAAATCTCCACCTTTTCATACTTGTTCACAGTAGCCCTTTCCCATTTCTTCCTCATCATCCTTCTACTACACGGGACAATCTCCTCTTTGGAAATATCCTATTATGTTGGTTTGTTGGTACAAAACTCTTTATAGTCCCCTTCATAGAGACACTAAAAGTAATCTACAGATAGACCCTTGATTCTAGTGTCCTCTCTCCTGGGAAGGCAGAGAGCACGTGCTGCTGCAGGGCCACTGAGGGACTCTCTTTTGACCAAGCTCGTCTCCCAGAGTTTAAGAAATGTTTGAGGTTTTGCCATCAGGGCCTTAAACGAAGACCCTCCTTTACCCCCTGTCGACTTCCTGCAATTACCTTAGGACTGGCTGTCCTCAGGTATATTTCAGAGGGCCAGGCCTCAGGGCTTCATGGCCCTTGGGCAGCAGGACAGGCCCTGCAGTAGCCCCGTGCCAGAGGTTAAAGTGGCCACTCAAAACCCGTCCCAACCGCTGCCAGGTCCTGTGGGCCTTTGGAGGCCTATTTCCAGCAAAATATGTTTTGGGTGTCTGATCTGATCCAAACAGACTTGCCCTTGTGTTATTATTCCAATTTCACAGGGAAAGATACAGAGCAAATAATCACAGTTTGAACTATATAGCAATTTATATTTTTTCAAAGGTTTTCAAGTACTATTTAGCCCTCACAACATTTCCAAAAAACACCTTTTTTTTTTTACATGGTAGAAACTGTCAAACGTGGAAGCAAGCTGCTCAAGGTCACTCGTGAGTCAGAGCCAGGAGCCACGTTGGGATGAGAACCCCGGCCTCCCGGCTCCCGATATGGCACTCTTTCCACTAAACCATGCTGAACTCAGCAGGGATGAAATTAGAACATAGCACACCTACATTTCCAATTTAATCCTCTCAGCTCTGCTAAGCATGTGTAGAACACAGATGTCGTGAGCAACGAAAGCTGATTTGAGACATTACCTTGGAAATATGGATTCAATTAATATAACCCCTATTCACTCTGTCCTGGTTTTGCATTTATGTCTCACGCCTCTCTGCGTCTGTCAAAACATCTTACACATTTTATTCCTTTGTGAATACCTATGTGAGGCAAGAAAGATAGCTAGAAATTTAAAAAAGGAAGAAACCAAATAAAAGAAATAGAAAGAGAAACATCCAGAAAGAGGACAAGAGAGAACAAGAGAGAAAGCAGGAAACAGAGGATCCTGCTTTGCTGCAGTGTTTTAAAGATGTGTGAGTGCGAAGGCGCTTCCGATTTTAGACATTTCACGTCTGCCCTTGGGCCTGTCAGAGACCCAGGCCACCTCAGGTGACAGTACCACCCAGGCAGGTCTCCACAGAACTTCCTTCAAGGAGACGGAGGCCCACTCAAGCATGGCACAGAGGAAAGAGTGTGGCTTTAGAAGACAAATCCCAGAGAGGTTCCTAGTAACTTTTCAAGTTTCTACCCAAAACTCAGTTTCTTCAAATTAAAATGGGGATAATTCCCATGTCCATTATGGAGTTGTCTGAAGGACTCCGAGAGGGGCTGGCAGTCCATCCAGGACAGTGTCTGGCACACAACACCTGCTCCATAAATGGTATCTACTCCCATTCTTTCCGGACATCAGTCACCCATCATCATTAGACACAGTTCAGAGTTGTTAGCTGATTGATTTTATAGCCAAGTAAATGCATATATTTCCTCCACACACTAGAATAACCACATCCAGTTTTCCTCTACTCCATAGCCAAACAGACCTGGGTGAGGTTCAGACAGCCAATCCATTCGGAAACCACTTTTTCTGGCTTGACTTAACGGTAAGTATCTCCTGTCCTGTTAAAAAACAAAGAAGAATTAGAGACTTTAGCTTTTCCACAGTTACTATGAAAACATGTCCAAGAAGGCCATTATGTAAGCTTTTCAAGAAAGCAAATGCTTTTATTCATGAGAATCCTTATCCTAAAAAGCTCTTCCTTTTCTGTCCAGTCAGTTTCACATTGGCACCAGAACAACAGACAATAAAGACTCAAGAAGCATCCATTAATTATTGATATGTGAATGCAAGCCTGGTTCCCCGGCCTGAACCTCAGGTACTAGCGAGGTGTCCCACCTGCACTTTTAGAACACCTGAGGCCAGCTGTTAACTGGCCTTCCCTGGCTGACCCTGAGGACCAGAAGGTAGAATTAAAGACACTGTCCACTGTGGGCAAACCTTAGGAGAGAAAAAAGCCAACCACTGTGCCTTGGCCTAGCTGGCACCTCAGAAGCAAAACAGCATGTTTTCTTCATGCTGTTGATCTCACTTCACTTGCCTAGCAACTCCCAAAATGCCCCCACCAAAGCCCAGAAGGCAGATAACCAGAAACAAACATTTCAGTGACTTCTAAAGCACAATTATGCCCGTTCTCCATGGATTCCCTGAAGCTTATCAAGAGAGGGCCAGTTCTTCAAACATCATTCTGCACAGTCAGTGCTGGCCAGTCAGGGAAAGAGGCTTACACTGGTCCTGCCTCATGTCTCCATTTTCTTCCATTAGCGCCTCAAGAATGGGGATCTGTGGGAGTCACTGCAGTACACTGTTTCAGTGCCTGTTTTCCTGCTGAGTATGAACTCATGTTTTATTCATTATCAGAGCTCTCATATCTAGCACAGCCCCTAACACCTACTGGGTACCCAATAAATATTTGGCTCAATAAATAAAATTCATTTTAATATAACCAAAAATTATTTGGGAACTTAGACACTGAAGACCTCCGATTTGAACTAGAAGATAGAAATTCTCTAAAATGATCCTAAGCCTTTTACTTTCCTCAGAACCATTTTTAAAAGTCACATTAAAAACTAGGATCATAAAAACTAGTCACATTAAAAATAAGCAAAGACCTGTTTCTACTACTTACCTTGAGAGACTCATAATGGTCCTGTCTAATATCTTCATATTCTTCCATGATTTCCTCAAAGTATTCATCCTTTAGATTTTCATCTAACAGTTGAGAACACTGAAAATGCAAAATAATCATAGATCAGCAAAAGATGATAAAATTGGTACACTAACGGTAAACTCTGGTGACACCTCATTCAGGAAGGCAGCTTCCTTAACTTCATTTCTTCTCCCTTCACCAACTGTGCTAATTCCTGCCTGGCGTGCAGGAAAGGGTAAACTCAGTGGGCTTGGGATGTTCAATCACTGCACAAGCCAAAGAAAGAACCGGTCCTTGACTGTTTTCTGAAAGACAAACTCTAACCCCTTGGGATAGCCTGCCTGGATAAGAGAGTCACTGTATACCTGGCACCCTGGGCCACGTTAGATGGTTTATGCTAACAGTCTGATTTATGGAGGGGGGGCCTCAACTCACGCTTCTGCTTGACCTCTGCAGGGACTGAAGACTGAGCAATTAAGGCTGGTCACATGGGCATTCTGGGCCTATGTGACCAACCCCCACACCAAGGACATGAAGGCTCAGGTAAGCTTCTGGGTTGGCAAGGCTCCTTACATTCTGTCACATATCACTAGTGGAAGAATGAAGCACCACCCGGATTACTCTATAGAGAGATGACACCTGAGAGCTTGTACCTGGTCTCGCCTGCATTCCATCCTTTGTGCCTTTGGCCTTCCCTGATTTTAACCTATATTCTCTCACAATAATAAACCATGGTCATGAGCATAACAGTTTTTCTGGGTTTTCTGCGTCCTTCTAGCAATCTTTGAACCTGAAGGTGGTCTTGGGGACCCTCTGGGTTAGGTAACCCCCAACTCAATGTTTCAAAGATATTCTGTTCACCTACTTTCCACAGCCTTTTAGTATCAATTTATGTATCTACTTCCCTTACTTGAAAGGCCTGTGAGAGCTGCAATCACACATCAACCACCTTCATGCCCCTGATGCCTAGCCCAGTGTCTGGAGGTGCATTCTCACTGTCTGCTGAGGGAATGAGGCTAATCTTCATAGTCCACTGTATGTTTCTGCTAAAATTGGAAAGGAAACCAATAATCTGAGAAAACATGAGTCTACTCATTAAATTGTAAAACTAGGTTCAGCTAAATATTATTCGTTACTATGATAATCACATTGATAGAAGAATAGCTACCATCAAAGCACATAATGAAACTATGTAGAAAGAAGAGATGGCAACTATTGATCACATCAGTTAAAAAATAAACATAGCACTGCCCCCTCCCTACATTCTGCAGCAGGATTATCTAATATACAAAAAGGTAAGAAAGTTCAACATCTTCATCTGAACTTAAGGAAGTTAGACTGAATGATGGCTAAAACCAGCATTAACTCCACATGGGTTTTCTAAGTATCTCTAATAACAATCCAATCATCTATGAGTTAGTATGAAACAACATCACCTCATTCAGGAATACGATCAGAAAAGGCCATTGTGGCAGGCCAAAAAGAGGCTTCCAAATGGTGTTCACACCACAGAGTATTTCCCAACCTTACATTAAACTCACCTCAATGGAGTCCTTGTCTAGGAAACCCAGCACAGCCCAATGAAACAAGAAGGGAATGCCTACTCTGAAATCCCTGTAGTACATGTAACCAATGTCTTAAAACCTTCTTACATTTTTCTAGATTATACACTCTGAGAAAGCAAAACCAGATGTCCTTGACATTCAAAGAATCTACAAGCCCCCTGATGTTGGTGCTACTGTGTAGACAGAACATGCCAATGCAGTTTGCTACCATAGCCCCATGGAGCCCCGCTGCTCCCAGGGCTGCAGTGGCAGGCCCCTTCCTGCCCAGTCAGACTTACTTGATGGAAACAAGTTCATGGTCAATATATGTGGGCTAACTTACATGATCCTTCCACCAAAAAAATCAAATCCATCATGTGTTTTCATGCCAACCACTGGGACATATCGCAGTTTATATTTTCCTTCATTTTAAAAAATTGTACTTCATGGCAACAGCCACACAGTAAGAAGGAATAAATTGAAAAGATATTTTATAATTTTAAAAGCATAAAATATTGGCAACTCGTTTTCTATTAAAGAAGAAAAAAGAAAGGAAGGGAGAATCCTTGGATCTAAATCTCTAACCATTAAGTATTTGTGGAATCTTATAAATACATAAGACTGTTCATAAAATGTGATCCTGTTCCATGCTCATTTCAGTTAGATCAAAAGAGCCTGAGCCAATGAGCCCACAACCAACTCAAACAAATTATACCACTGGCTCCTGAAGTGTCACTAGCAGTTACTCACATGATTTATCATCTGACTTATGTTTGAGTACTTTCAAACGTGGTTGTTTCTTTGTACATGAAGGAGCTAACTGGAGCTGCTGGCTGCATGGCTGGACCAAACTGTAAAGAACACCAACACCTGTTCCTCATTCTCTATGTGGCTTTCGGCCAGGTCCCCACTACTCTAGCTCTTCAAGAGGGCTGGGCGCAGTGGCTTATGCCTGTAATCCCAGTACTCTGGGAGGCCCAAGCAGATGGATCACTTGAAGTTAGGAGTTTGAGGCCAGCCTGGCCTACATGATGAAAAAATTAGCTGGCTGTGGTGGCACACACCTGTAATTCCAGCTATTCAAGAAGCTGAGGCAGGGGGATTACTTGAACTGGGAGGCAGAGGTTGCAGTGAGCCGAGATCGCACCATTGCACTCCAGCCTGGGCAACACAGCAACACTCATCT